AGATTTAAAAGATTCTTTTTCTCTATCAGCTGTATCTGATATGAAATATTGCTGTATAGAAGCCAGATAAAAGTTCAAGATTTCTATTTTGGAGTTGTGCCTTTGCTTTAACACAGAGCTTGTGTACCAATGAGACCCGTGCATGCAAGGAGGTGTCACTATTTGTTGGAAACTTTCACATACTGTTGTTTCTGATGAGTTTAAATAATACTAAGTTTGTTGAGGGGGAGATAGTGAACAATGCTTTGCATTGTTAATTATATACCTTACAGTGGACATCTGTTGGCTACAAAACACACATACTTTGTATTTTTTTGTACTGGCCTAATAATATCCTGTTGAAGCACACTTAGAGGTGGGAGTAGGCAGCATAAATTCTACAGTACCAGACATGAAATGTTGTTGTCAGAGACAGCGAACATCTGTTGTATGCGTTTGCAGTATTGCTGCAACTTGTCATCTAACACTTTAAATCAGGCCAATGGTTAATTGCCACTTTTTTTTTCAAATCACCGCATCAGCGTACAGCTGTTAGGGAACAAATTTAAATAAGCATTTGCATGTGCTGAGATTTTCTGTTCATTTACTTTATTTTGCTAAGAAGTTGTACCTCTTGTGTCATAATCCAATGTGCCACAATTCAATTCCACTTATTAGGAATTTGAATGGAAAACTGCATAGCTTATCTGAGGGAAAGCTAATAAAACTAATTATGTTCAAGTAAGCAAGACCTTGAACTGCCTTCTCCTGTACTCTTGTTGGTGATAGGGACAACATTAGAATGTCCTGAATTTATATTTGTAACCTATTCGGTTTCAGTATTATGTTCTTATCAACTGTGTAAAAAATTTTACCTGAAAACCAAAAAGCAAAGTGGCTTGTGATGTGGAGGTACTAATTAATACTACTTCCATTATTTTTGTATCAAAACAAACCATAATCCTATCATGTATTATGAGCATTAGCAGTCCAGTCAGTATCCCTCATCCATTTTTTATGGAATATTTTCTCTGTTGTGTGTTAACTATTAGTTGTTAATTCTGCATGAGTGATTCCATAGCAATACAATTAGTTCATTCAATCTGTCTTTATGCATAAATTGGTGACGGTTGAATACAAAGGATAAACTTTCTACTACAGTTGGATTTTCCCATGTAGGTTATGCCTTGCGTGCAAATTTCTATGCCATGTTTTGATGTAAAATTAAAATCACATCAATTTAAAAAAAAAGAAATTCACAGAATCTTACAGTAAAGAAGGAGGCCATTTGTCATGATGTTTCTTTGAAAGCATAAACCATTGGTCCTGCATCATTGCTCCTTCCCCGTATCTCTTTAAGTTTATTTTTTCAAGTAAAAAGTTACTTCATTTCCTGCATTATAAAAAGTCCTCTTATCCCAATAGCCAGAATTCGCAGAGAGAGGAAAAACAATATTTGGGGTTGATAACATTTCATCGGAAGTGGAAAATATTAATGAGATGGAACAGGTTTTAACCAAGTATGAATACTGCTTCGGCTACTAATGGAGTACAGAGTGCAATTCTAGTCTCCCGCTTAAAGGAAGGATGTTGTGAAACTTAAAAGGGTTCAGAAGAGATTTACAAGGATGTTGCCAGGAAGATGTTGGAGGGTTTGAGCTATAGGGAGAGGTTGAATAGACTGGGGCTATTTTCCCTGGAGTGTCGGAGGCTGAGAGGTGACCTTATAAAGGTTTATAAAATCATGAGGGGCATGGATAGGTAAATAGACAAGATCTTTTCCCTGGGGTGGGGGAGTCCAAAACTAGAGGGCATAGATTTAAGGTGAGAGAGGAAAGATTTAAAAGAGAACTAAGGGGCAACCTTTTCACGCAGAGGGTGGTGTCTGTATGGCATGAGCTGTGGAGGGGGCTGGTACAATTACAACATTTAAAAGGCATCTGATGGGTATATGAATAGGAAGGGTTTAGAGGGATATGGGCCAAATGTTGGCAAATGGGACTAGCTTTATTTAGGATATCTGGTCAGCATGGACGAGTTGGACCGAAGGGTCCATTTCCATGCTGTATTTCTCTATTAAGATGGGTAGGCAGTCAGAACGAAAGGTATGAAAAATTAAATGGCTAAATGGGTGATGTTTCAATGCAACAGGTGATGTTGATGGGATAAGTAAAGAAACAAAAGATGGTTTTAGAGGAGTTGTAAATTGTAATTGCAGAATCCTCTGAAATTGCACAATGATGCATCTAGAAGGATTCCATGTACGTAATTGAAAGGTGAAGTACCATTCCACTGAATTTCAGTAGAACAGTATTAGGTTGTCAAAGCAAGAGATTTCAAATATTTGCTGTGTTTGGCAAAGTGGTCAATGAAGCTAAGTTTGATCACCCGAAATTCAAGGGAGACCACATCGTTGACAGCGAATACAGTTTAGTAAATGGAAACTACAAGAGAATTGCTGTTTTACCTGAAGTTTGGAGCCTTGGATTCCAAAAAAAAGTGAAGGTACAGTACTGGCATTGCATCACATTGTCATGGGAAGATGCCAGGGAGCTTGGGGTAAAGTATTGGGCATGATTTAGGAGTTCACTGCTGAAAGAGGAGATGGAATGAAAATGCATTTGTTTGGTGACATGGCATTGGATTTGCTGGAAATGGTGGAGGGTGATCTCTTAAATGCAGCAGTTGGTGAGGTTGAAGGTGAGGGCACAAGAAATTCTAATGTGGTCCTGAGAAGAGAAGGAAAGGCAAGGGATGAGAGCAGAAGTGCTGGAAATGGCATATCCAAGTAAAGCTCAGTGCAAGCTTAAGGAAAAGCACCTCAAATTTTAATGATGCTCTTTAAATCTTCCCAGACTGAAAATGGAGTTCAGAAGTTTCAGAACATGGCCTGTTTCCCCATTTGTTTTGAACAGTAGCTGTTAGTAATTATTCTGTGATTAGCATTTGTACCTGCTCTAGATACATCTTTTGTTTCTTTTCTTGTCCCATTACCACCTTCTCTGGTCTTGAACCATCACCAATTTACATTTCAACTCTCCTTCCTTCCAGCCAATCACAGGTCCTTTCATTTCGTTCTTCACCCTTTTCCTATCAACTTGTTGCATGTCCTAATTTTTTTCCCATTTCCGGCAAAAAGAATAGAAAAACATAATATTATTGAAATTGAGAGGGGATGCAGACTGCTACGGTGCAGAAAACTCTGGGAGTCCTTGAGCAAGGGTGACAAACATTTAGTATTCAGGCATGAAAATAATTCACAAATGGAATGCTGCCCTTTTTTTGCAAGGGAGATAGAGTATAAAAGTCAGGAAGTCTTGCTACCACTGTACAGAGCATTGTTGGCACCACATGTAGATTATAGCATACAGCTTTGGTCTCCTTACTTGATGCAGGATATATTTGCACTAGAAGCAGTTCAGAACAGGTTCACTAAACTGATCCCTTAAATAAAGAGATTGTCTTTATGAGCAGTGGTTGAGTAGGTTGCATCTGTATCCATTGGACTTTAGAGGAATAAAATGTAATCTTACTGAAATGCACAAGATTCTGAGGAGGTTTGACAGGGAGGATGCTGAGAAAGTATTTCTTCCCATGGGCAATCTAGAACTTGGGTTTCAAAATAAGGGGTCTACTATTGAAAATGGAGATGATAAGAAATTTCTTCTCTTCAAGTGTTGTTAGTCTTTGGAATTCTGTTTCCCTGAGAGCAGTGGAGAGTGGGTCATTCAATTTATTCAAAGCTGAGTTTGACAGATTTTTGAACTACAAGGTATTCCAGAGTTATGGGTGAGCAGGCAGGAAATTAGAGTTAAGGCCAATCAGATCAGTCATGACCTTATTAAATTACACAGCAGGCTGGAAGATCCAAATGGCCTACTCCTGCTTCTATTTCTTATGTTTTAGTGACCTTATTTTTGACTACCTGTTTGATGGATAAAATTTCCTTATACTAACTACTGGGAAGACTGAAGCTATTGTCCACTGCCAACCATTCCTTAGTGACTGACTCCAGCCTTCCTATGACAACTGAGTCGGAGCCAAGCTGCTCTGTGTTGTGTTTTATGCTAGATGTGCTGCCAACCTCATTTGCATCATCGCTAAGACTGCCTACTTTAACCACCAAATTGTCACTTGACACTGTCCCTGCTTGAGTTCTTCTGATGCTTAAACCCTCATCCATGCCTTTGTAAACTGGAGGCTTCTCTATTTTAACGCACCCTTGCTTGACATCCCACTTTGAACCCTCCATAACTTAAAGTTGTTCAAAACCTGACATGCCCAGATCTGAACTTGCACCAGGAACCTTCCACATATTGCCCTAATGCTCGTAGACCTATTCTAGCTCCTTATTGAGCAATGTCACAATGTAAAAATCCTCATTTTTTTTTCAAATCCCTATCTAGTTCTGACCCAGCCTATCTCTGTTATTTTCTCTAGGCCTGCAACCCTCTGAAATAGCTGTGTCCCTCCAATTTTGGCCTCTGGTACTTGCCCAGTTTTAATCACTGCACCATTGAAGGTCATGCCTTCAGCTTCTGTGACTTTCATCTCTGGAATTCCTTCCCTAAACCTTTCGGCTTCTTCCTTTTTTTTTAAGATGACCCCTAGAATTTACCTCTTTAATCAGGCCTAATACCGCCTTATCTGATTATGTATTAAATTTGGTTTGATAATGCAACTCTAGTGCCTTGGAATGTTTTACAACACTCTTAGGCACAACATGTACATAGGTTGTTGTTGAGTTTCAGTACAATCATAGAGGGTTAAAGCCTTGTTCTTCAATGGGCATTCAGAAGGGAAATTAAGCCAATTGTAGCTCCCCCTTACTGCAAGCTTGACAAGGTGAATTAACTCTGCGCACATGCAGACAGTTGAGAAGAGTACATCCTGACTCCTGCAGTCTAACTTATAAAGCAGGAAATTTGAGTGAGCCATCAGGAGTTTGGTGATTTGGATTTTTCTGAATGAAATGTTTTCTCCTACTTCCAAGGCATGTTAAATATTCTATTAACTTACAGATGCAACAATTAATGAAAGCTGCAAAGGAAGGAACAAAAGATGGATTAGAAAAGACCAAAGCCGCTGTTCTTAAAAGGGGACGTTCGTTTATTAGACACAGGTATCAAGGTGAGTGGGAAAAGTGCAAATATCGCACAATACCAATAAGTGACCATCATTAGCAGTCCTTACAAAGAAACCATCTGCATGGTTCAAAACCTTTGGACCAATCTAAAATATAAAAAATGCATAGATTGCCATATACTTAGTGAATGTTTTCAATTTTGTCACACAATGCTGCCTTCGTGCTCTCTAGACACTTGCCTGTTTGAAAGCATAAGTCACTGATTAATGATGAGGACTTGAAAACTGGGTTATTCTTACCCTCCACTGAGTTTATTGTTATGCCCTGGTTGAAAGCACAGATTGTGAGTTGAACCTGTGACCTTTCTGTCCTGTATGAGTCAGCCTCACTGTCTTCTTCATTTACTTACTCAAATCAATAAGCAAGCCCTGAATGGTCCAAGAAGCTAAGCAAACCCTACAAAGTGTTTAAGTGCTCTGCAACTAATAAATTGCCTCACTCTTAATTTTCTTTAAAATTTGGCCATCTGCAGCAAAGTAAAAATAAAAATGCTGACTAGAGACTGACTAATTTCTGGAATTTTGTTTTGATAGCTGGTTTCAGCCTGTGGATATTAGTAGATGATCCCAAGTTAGAACTGTTGGCTCTCAAAAATAGCCAGTGACTTGAAAACCTTGCCTTAATTGGAGCAGTAAAAATGAACTTGGATTCAATGCAGTTTACAAATTCACGTGATTTCATATGCCGAAAATTTCTAATTCTTTGAACTGGTTTCCCACTGCCTTTTAAGAGAGTGAAGACTTGACCATGTTATATTTGGGATGGAGTATTAAGCACTGGCTTTTGGGCGTGCTAAACACTGTGCATTGATGTCATTATGGGTTGGGACAGAAGTTGCATTGTTAAATGGTGCCTACAAATTGACTTTAATACAGGGGGAAAGCTAACTATTGGCTACTAGTCCACTTTATTACAGGGTTTGAGTGTTAGCATCAGAAGTTGCAGCAAACTTTAATCAAAAGTACTGTACCTGAGCAAGAAAAAACTTCATTTGGTAAGAAATTCTGAATTGTAGCTTCATAAAACATCTGAGACAGTTTAAGTCTTGTGTTCAACTCAACAGAAGGCAGTGTGTTTAATCTGATTTTGTGAGAATTATACTCTGACAGGAAAACACATGGGTAGAATTGCATTGAGGCATTTTCAAATGTGTCTTACTTGCTTGATCCTCTATTTTCAGAATGGAATTGATGCAGAATGCAAACTTTGGAATTGTTCAAGTATTACGAGGATTTTCCTGTTTTTCTCCTTCTGGGTGGGTACACCAAAGCCAGCGTTGTGCTGGGTAGGTCCATGCAAGGAAGTTCTTGGAGGACATTTCTAATCTGTCATGGCTGGCGCAGTACTTTTTTTTTAAAAAAAAATCGGATTTCTTTAATATATTTATTGAGCAAGTGTGCCTCTTTTTGCTTTTCTTTCGTAGAGTTTTCCCAGCATCTGAGACCACCTACTTGTCTCCAAATAGAATATTCCAGTGCCAGGTTTATTAAAATGGCCAAAAGTAGAAGCAATGTTTAATGTGTTGCCTGTAATCAACTGGACAATGAAATGGCTCTTACAGGCTGTAGGCCTGTTTAATACTCATGCTATAAATGACTGCCTTGCTGAGAATGGAGATGAGGTATATTGCAGGGCCAGTGCATCCTTCATGGGACACATTATAGCGAACACAGAAATTCTCAATGTTTATACTTAGTGCTGAAGAATGGACTGTTTTCTATTGACTATGCTGCCTCCATGCAAAATTGACACAAAACAAGATATCTCTACTGCTGGAGTCCCTGGAAGGTTAATCTTTTACATAGTGAAATAAAAAAAGCTGCAGCCACTCTCCTCAGAAGCAAAAGGAAATGCCAACCTTAGACTTCAATGCGTGATCAGTTTTAAATGTAACTCTATGATAAAGAAATTTCTTGTATAGAAAAGCCATGGTATTTGAGAATGAGATGAGAAACATTTCAGTTCTCCAGGAGTCAGACAGATTTCTTGCTGCATCTGCAAAGGCACCAATTTGTCACACCATTTCCACCCTGTCGAACCAATATTTACTGCCCATTGAGATACGCCATTGCTGATCTGTATTTGCATCTTTTGTCCATAGATCACAGGTTTGGGTGTCTGGAAGAGGAAGAACAGAATCTGTTCATTGACGTTGACTGCAAACATCCAGAGCCAGTAATGACACCAATGCCAGAGGGTTTGACACAGCAGCAGGTACATGTTTGTGAGCTTGGGTGGTTTCTGAGTCTGAACTCTGTGTTCCAAAATGGCAAAAAAAGCTACAACATGTGAGAAGTGCATTGCATCTTCATCTTCTGGGGCATGGTTGTTGAACTACATGTGCATTCTGTGATTTACTGATTCAATTATGACACTGCTAGAATTCTCTGGAATGTAGCAGGTTTTCTTGCTATGTTTTCCAGTGTTGTGTTAAAACATAAAATGTATCTGTACAGTACAACCAGGGGAGATCCACTCTGATTTTATTTAATACTATTTATTTTTTTAAACAATCTCATAAACTGAACAAGAAATTACTGACAGAAAGAGGAGGAAAATGGATAGTATAGGATAATAGACGTGTAGGTGAAAGGGACCATCTTGTTTGGAATAAGATGGAATTTATACAAACTATAGCTTAAAGTAAGTACTCTACATTTACTTAAGTTGTGTGATGTTTAAATTCCTTATTTGCGAGACATTTTAGAAGTGTAATGTTTTCCAATAGAACCTTCTTTATTGATATGCAGCCCCTCGGGTTTAGTGAAAGTTTAACTATTTAGTTAATACTGCAGTGACTTATCAACAGCATTTAAAGAATGAGAGATTGTATCTATGACAAGTATCTTGATGTTTTCTCTGCTTTAAGAATTACCTTTCAAAATTAAAATCATCTGTCACTCGTAGCGTGGGATCTACCCCGTGAAAATTATTTTGATCTCTTTCTAAAAACCTATACTTGAAATTTATGGATTTATGTGACAATTGATATTTCTCAAATGATCCAGCCTTGTGTCAAAACTTCAAAACTTGTATTTGTTTAAAAATAGAAGTTTCTTATTATTATATATTTCATCGGTTTGATGGGTAGCTTCAATCTTTTAAAAGCAGTTCACATATTGTGGCGTCATTTCTGAAGAAGGGTCCAGACCCGAAACATCAGCTTTCCTGCTCCTCTGATGCTGCCTGGCCTGCTGTGTTCATCCAGCTCTGCACCTTGTTGTATCACATATTGTGGCATTTGGACTTGTGTTTTAATACTAGATTATAATATAATCCAGTCTACATTCTTGAAATTAGTTTTTGTGAATTCTGGCTAACTTGAGAGTAAAATCTGTTTTTGAAACAGGTTGTCAGACGATATATTCTTGGGTCAGTAGTTGAAAGTGAGAAGAGTTATATGGATGCATTGAAGCGAATTCTAGAGGTAAGTCAGAGCACAAAGAAAACTACTGGATTCTGTTAGTGTATTTTGGGTCACCCTGACAACCAGAAATATTTTAAAAAGAAAAAAACAAATTTTTGGAACCTCTCATCTATTCACAATTTTTGCCACAATACCTCCTTGCTGCTGAACTAACCGTTCTCGTGAAGTGGTGACCTGGGAGTCATTGCAAGAACACAGTCTCACTGGAAAGATTGATCTGACAAATAGGTGGGAATCAATTTGGAAGTTTGGATTTGGAGGTCTGTGGTGGTGGGAATGTAGGGAAACCCTCAAAGGAAGTACCCATTGTTCCGACCTGTTCACCTGAGATGAAGTTGTAGTGTGCTCGCCTCCATCCTGTTTGTCCCGGCCACGTCAGATATTAATGAGGGGCCAAATTAAGCCTTTAAACGTCTATTGATTGACCACTTCTAAGGACACTTAATAAGCCTAAGGGTGGTTGGGCTATCTGATGCTTTACCTGTCCACTGTAATCTGAAGGACAACTCAGAGTCAAGAACGCATCAAGCTTGGCACCTGTCCTGTTTCATGTGCCTCCACCAAACCTTCAAATGTGTCAGCTGGGAGAGGCTGTGAAATATTCCCCATTAGCGTATGGTACTAATCTACACAGACTGGGAACGTTTGTGAAATCATGTTTGGAAAAAGTGACACCAGTTTGATTTTGTTTTCCTCTCTGCACAGCATTATGAGAAACCTCTTTTGGAAATGGATCCGAAGCTATTAAGTGAAAGGAAATTGAAAATAGTGTTTTATCGAATAAAGGAGATTCTTCAGTGCCATTCCCTGTTCCAGATTGCCTTAGCTAGTCGTGTGACTGAGTGGGACTCAGTTGAAATGATTGGAGATGTCTTTGTTGCCTCAGTAAGTCTTTGAATAAAAATCCATGATGATTGTGAATCCAGAGTCTGGGATCCTGGGAGAGTTTGTTCAGAAAGGAATTTGTATAAAGTACAGAAAAATGTTTTTCTGTAAAGGAGATGATTGAGTAAAGGTGTCTAGCTTGTGCTGATCTGTCTCCTGATGCCGGGTGGAATTGGAGATGGGGGTGGACGGACATGAAACAGTTGTATAAAATTTGGAAGTATTTGTACAAGTTAGATTTGATGTAACAGAAAGTTGGACTTTCTGCTGCCTCGGAAAAGCAACCAACGCGATCAAAGACCCTTCCCACCTCGGTTATACTTTATTCCACCCTCTTCCGTCGGGCAGAAGATTATAGAAGTTTGAATACATGTACAAACAGATTCAAGAATAGCTTCTTCCCTGCTGTTATCAGAATATTTCAAGGACTTCTCAAGTGTTAATTCTGATCTCTCTCTGCACCTGTAATACTGTATGCTGCATTCAGTTCTGCCATTGTGATGCACTTTATATGGTACGATCTGCTTGTATAGCACGCAAAACAACACTTTTCACTGTATCTTGGTACGTGACAACAGTAAACCCATCAATCAAGTGAGAATGTTCAGTGGATTACACAATCTTCAATTACATTCACAACTACTCAGCTAATTGTACAGTCCTTTCCCACATCCAGCCAGATCGGAACAATATTCAGACTTAGGCTGATGTGCGACAATTAATGTTCACACCACTCAAGTGCAAAGCATTCATTGCCTTTATTGTCATCAAAACCCTCACCATTATTGTTGGAGCGACCAGAAACTTAACAGGGACAAGTACACACATACTGTGGTTATAAAAAGTCAGAAACTGGATGTTCTATTGCCATGACTCATTCCTAATTCACCAAAGCCTTGCCCAAGGCACAGAAGTGGGATAGGATACTCATACTTGCCTCAGTAAGCACAGCTCTATTAACAGTTGAGAAGTTCTCCATGGTTCAGGACAAAGCAGCTGACTTGATTGGCATGCAAACACCAATTTACAAGTTCACTCCCTTCCTTCTGCCACCAGCACACCATGTCTATAATGCAAATTGTCTACAAAATGCCATTTAACAATTCCACAAAGCTTCTTCAATAATTTCTTCCAAACCTGTGGCCCCTCGCAATCAGAAGGATAGGGGTAAAAGGCACAAGGAAACACTACCACCTGCACATTCCCTCAAAGTTACACGCTACCCAAAGGTGTAACTTTGTTTATGTTCCTTCACTAACACAGGCTCAAAATCTTAGAATCCCTCCCCTTCTCAGCACTGTGAAAATATATCCATATGATTGTGGCTTACAACAATCTTGAGGGCATTTAGGGAGGGGTACGAAATATTGGAATGTCAACAGCTCCATCAGATTAATGACTTAACAATAGATCAAATTCAGAGGCATCTTGTGGCCCAGTAGTAATTTTCCTACATCTGAACCAGAAGGCCTAGGTTCAATTCCCATCTACTCCAGAGGTCTGTCACAACATCTCTGAAGAGATTGATTAGGAAAATGTCAAGAGTTGGTTCTTGGGTGCTGCGGAGTCCATGTACCACGTAGATAAGTTCTTAGTTATTTGAAAAGTCTTTTGGTTGCACTTCAGCCCGACACTGCTGACCTTTGGGCACCCAGTGTTTAAGTGTGTGGACAGGTTGGAGGATCTCCTCATGGGTCTGCTCCTGGGCCTGGCCAAGCTGGCTATAAACAGATCCAGGCAGAGGGCTGTGGAGGGGGTCATATCTGTTGACAGTCTGTCGTTCTTCCACGGTTACGTTTATGCCTCGGTGTCTGTGGAGATTGAGCACGTGGTGCCCATCAATGCTCTCGATGTCTTTAAAGAGGTGGGCGCCATGGGCGATACAGTGCTTTATCTACCCTTGAACTCCATTTTGATTTAGTCTGTTCCTTCTCTCCCTACATCCCCTCCCCCTTAATCTTGGTGGTTCGCATTACCAATAATGGGCTTTGCTTGTAAATATTTAAACTCGCTACACGGGTGATTACTGGTGGTGATTAGTAGCTTATTTTAAAAAAAAACAAAGATTTTGGTGGTAGGAAAGTCACTCACTTGTATGTGATAGCATGTCTAGATGTAAAAAAAGAAAATAGATCAAATTCAGAGGCATCTTGTGGCACAGTGGTAGTGCTCCTACCTCTGGGCCACGAGGCCCCAGTTCAAGTCACACCTGCTCTATTTTTGTATAATATCATCCCTAAACATGTTGATTAGAAAATCCCTAGATCAAATTCAGACGGGCTCCTGTGGCACAGTGGTAATGCCCCTGTCTCTGAGCCAGGTGATCCAGGCCCAAGTCCCACATGCTCCCGAGATGTATAAACCCATCTCTGAACAGGTTGATATTAAATATATCTAAATGGAATTCAGGATTATTTGTGATGTGCCTACCAATAATATACATTAGATATGTGGACTACACAGATCCAAAGTCCTACCTGAAACTGTTGCTGCTACCACATAGAAAAATTGTTTTCATAGAATCTAATTAGTTTTACACAGTATTATATTCACAGTTGTATAAATTTGAAGAGGGATATTTAGTTAATATAATTGTTTGTAAAATATACCTTGCAAGACTTGCCCTCTTTTAAATGACCAGAATTAGATTTTATTTTCACTGTATTAAATTGTAATGGCAGTGTTGTGATGTATTTAATATATTTTAAAATCATGTTGACTGAAATAACTCTACGTACAGGCCAATTTTCTTTATTTATGGGATGTGGGAGTCATTGGAGAGGTTACACCATTTGTTGCCCATTCCTAATTGTCCTTGCAAAGGTGTTAGTGACCCAGCATCTTGAATCACTGCAGTTCGTATGATGTAGGTACACCACAATGCAATAAGGAAGAGCTGCAGGATTTTAAGCCAACACCTACGAAGGAATGGTGATAAACCTGGTCAGGATGATGTGTGACTTTGAGGGGAACTTGCATTGGTGAAGTTTCTATGCATCTGCTGCCCTTGTCCTTAAAATTTGTAGAGATGACAGGTTTGGAAAGTGCTGTCAAAGGAATTTCTGTGAGTTATTGCAGTGAATCCTGTAGATGGTACACTCTCCTGCCACTGTGCATCAGTGATGGAGGGAATGATATAAAATTTGGATGGGGTTCTAATCAAGGGTTGCTTTCTTCTGTTTCATATTGAGCTTCTTGAGTGTTATCGGAGCAGGCAGGTGGGAAGTATTCTATCACAATCCTTACTTGTGTCTTTTTGTGTTGCACTGCCTTCAAAATATTCTGCCACCAGTTTCCAAATTCTCTCCCATTAAGCTTTGGAGGAGGAGAAGAGCTACTCACCACAGAATTCTTAGAGCCACAGTAGTTACGTGAGTGGTTCAGTTCAGTTCACTTTCTGGTCAATGTTAACTCCTAGGATGTTGAAAGTGGGGCACTCAGTGATGGTAATAGCTTTGAATGTCAAGGGAGATGGGTTATATTTTTCTCTTGTTGGAGATAACCATTGCTTTGCACTTGGGTAGCATGAATGCCACTTGCACCATAATGTGGAGAGACTAGTAGGGGCACAGAGTATTAACAGCACTGGATAAAACATAATTGGCAACACCAGTAAATACAAGTGCTATATTTTCTAATGGATGTTTGATAAGTTAAACAGGAGGAAAAAGGAAAGTTACTGAAATAAGGAGGACATATTATAGAATGTGAGAATCAAGTGATTGAAAAACCATTGCGCTTAATGGGAGAGAATTTGGAAAGTGGTGGCAGAATGTTTTGGAGGCAATGCAACACAAAAACCATTCCTTTTCTATTATTGTGTAAAATAATAAATCTGAACACCTTTACAAAATGTCAATAAGATTTTCTGGAAGAATTTGTAGCGGCGGTTTCATGCCATCTGCCATTCTTCCATTAACTGTATCTCACCAACTGTAATGAAATTCAAAACAATTTTTAAAAAATGAATGTTGATAATTGAATGAAAATTTTAATTTCAGCTGCTTGGTTGAATTTGAATAGGTCAATTACTTCAAGGAGATTGTTCAATATTCTAAATTCCTGCAGGTAATTTTTACAAATATAATGGCAGCATTCAGATTTGTGGCCTTCTATTCCTATAGCTGAAATATCCATGAGATACAATTGCAAAATCTGTTTAGTCAGCAAAAATGAATGGACAGTCTGGTGAAATGATGTGAGAAAGCTCCCATCGTTCAGTGTTTGCTTATGCATATTTCTGCAAAATCTCAATTTGAACTTTACCCCTTTTTAAATATACCTTTCAGAATGAAAATTCTTTGTGCTTGAAACTCAGATCAGTCACAGAGTGAAAGGATTAGCAGTGTTTCTCCAAGCTAAATTCACTCAAACATATGAAAACAAAACTCTGTTGAAGAGAAATCCTCCTGTGTTGGAAGATAAACAAACTTGGTATTCATTTATCAAGTAAAATTTAGATTTTAAAGTGCTGAGTTACTTCAGAAACTATTGTGTAAGATTTTCAAAGCTGTCATTTTATTTCTCTTTCAGTTTTCTAAGTCAATGGTGCTTGATGCGTATAGTGAATATGTAAACAATTTTAGTACTGCCATGGGAATAATTAAGAAAGTGTGTGCCAGCAAACCTGCCTTTCTGGAATTTTTGAAAGTAAGTTAATCATTTTCTAAAAGTAAAATGTTGTTTCCTTTGTAAATATTAACCTCAAGTCACACACTTTGAGTTGTTACAATGGCAAACAGGAAGGTCTCGTGATTTGTACCCAATTTTATCATGATGGTACATATCTCCAATTTAGAGAAGATAAAATTCATCAAGGTCTCACTCCTGAGTTCTGCTCTGAAGTCCGAGGGAAAAAGTCCATATAGGTAAATATTGAATAAGGATAAGACTTGTTTGTAGTCCATCCAAATTTGGCCACGTATAAAGAATGCTGCTGATCCACAGCAAGAGAAATATAAAAAAGAAAAAAGGCAACAACAACATGTAAATGTATTTACCAGTTGGATTGATAATGCAATGAGCTAATGAAGTGCAGTATCCATCTATTATTCCCCCAATACACTGGAACATTGCACCCCTCTATCTTGTGACCATAATTACCAATTCATTATCTTCTCGCACCTGTTTTGGTCTTTTCCTCAATTGTGAAGTGCTTTCCCAAGCTATACTGCATTGTAAAGATGCTTTTAAATGGAAGTAATGTATTTAATTTTATTTTGCTGCACGGTGTTTGCCACTGAAGGAAAGTGTTATTTTAAACATGTTCTATAGGGTGTACTGTATCTGGTCAAAATAAGCACAGCCCTTGCATCCTCTTGACTATACATTTCATGTAAAAGTATACTATACAGTTTTGAATTGTGATTTCAGAGAGCTCCTATCTTGGTGGTGTAGAGTAATGACCTCTCTACTAATTTCAGACATATATTTTTATTTAATTTCTGAAAGTGAGCACAGCTGGTAAAACTGGCATTTGTGGCTCATCCCTAGCTGCCCTTGAGAAGGTATTATTGGTACGCTAGAGTGGCAAGCTTGAACACTTCAGAGAGCAGATGACTTTGACTGCAGTCAGCCATTAGTGATGAGTTGGATTGTGGCAACAGATTGAACAAATTCCTCGTCACTTGTCCTGACATCAGTCTGTTAAAACCAGAATTTTGTAACTGAACCCAAATTGGCAAACTGCCATAGCTGGATTTGAATCATGTTCTCTGATACACTAGTTTAGGCTTATGTTGCAGCACTAGTAACCTACAAGAGCTATGCCCCCAAACCGTGGTTCTCAGCCTATTACTTATGTAACCAACTGTGTCATAGTAACTACTGTAACTGTTGATTTTAATCATTATCTATTTGGGAGATTATACAATAATATATTAAACCTGTAGATGTTTATTTTGCTCCACAGTTAATTCTTTGTTACAGGCCAGAACATTATTAAAAACTCAGCCATTTAATGTTGTATTCTGTTGAACTGTAGCCATTAAGTGAAAATCAATTATAATTGCCCTCTGACCCCCGTAGTTTACCTCCATTATGATCCCTATATTTACCTTGAATGAGTGCTGAGTTCTTGCCTTAAAGTATTAGAAAGCACCCATAGCCCTTCTGAGGATCCCAAATAATCCAGAAGAGAATTCTGCAAATTGTGAAATGTTTGGAAACGAATGAGTTGCATATGAATGGGAATCTTCTTAAATCCTATCAAGTGTCGCTGAACCAAAAATTAGTTCTAAAGCAGTTGGAGTGGGGAAAAACCATTTGGAACATGAGAATAAGAAAAAAAATGACCTCTACTCTTGGTGCTGATTTCCTTATCTGTGGAAACACTGGCTATGCTTTACAGTAGCTTGATCTGTAAACTGTCAATTTTGTCCACAGCTAATTAGCTCAAGTTATTGAGGGTGCTTACACACACAATTCACCTTTTTTACATTAGTCAAAATTGAGCAAACTTAATTTCTTTAAACTATTTGACATTGTTCAGCTGTTTATTTTCTGCAATGTTTGCACTGTTTCTTGATTGAGATGCTGGGTAACATAGCTGCTTCTAGGTGTTGCTTGATCATTGCCTGGAACATACAACAGATTGTTGTTCTTTACTTTGCCCCTTCATCTGTGACTTAGTTAAAGTGTTGGACCTATTGGAAGACACTTGGCTCAAGTCCAGACCCTGTCAATCCAAACTCCATAGTCCATTGTTTAACTAACCATATTGATTAAAAGAATAATACAGTCCTATCTGACAACTCCAGAGCTGCTACTTGTTTGCTGTCTTTACCTGTGACAAGTTAACAGAAGCATCAGTTATGATTAAACTTGGAATTTATCAGGATAAAATTTCACAGTCACTGCCTGAGTGGTAATCTGCTGAATTGGATGAGATCCACTGCGTAACTGGATCCCTGTAGTTGTAGCAAGACCAGGGATAGTGCAATAAGGTGTTCCCAATTCTTTGCATTTTCTGCTCCCATCTATGTTTCCAAGCATGATTGTAATAGTTGCTGTTGATGTTCAGCTATACATTCATATCAGACCTTCCACGAACACCTCTTGACTCTCCTAGTGTCAACATCAGAAAACCTTTAGTTTTCACCGAACTGCAACCCTGTCTCAGTGAACTGATGACAGGGGTACTCTTCAACTTGCCATCCCAGCTGCTCTTCAAAATGCAGGTTTTGTGGATCGAGATATTGTGGAAGAGAATCCAAAATTCTGTTTTCCCTGGAATGTGGGAAATTCCTTTCAAAAGCTCCTGCAGTCTCTGGAGTATTCCTAGATCGGCCGTCACTCCCCGCACATAGACTCGTGTACATTTACAGCACAAAAGGATGCCATTCTCCCCACTGTGTCCATGCTGGCCAACAAAGAGTTGACTATACTAATCCTATTTTTCATTTTTGGCTCATAGCCCCGGAGGCGTGAATATCTAAATACTGCTTAGGTGTTGCGAGAGTTTAAAACTCCACTACCCTTGCAGGCAGTGAGTTACAAATTCTCACCATCTTCTAAGTGAAAAGAATTCTCCTCAACTCTCCTCTTAGCCACCTCCTTCTTACCTTAAATCCATGCCCATTTGTTATCGAGTCCTCTAATAATGGAAAAGGTGCTTTCCTATCCTCTTTATCACGGAATGTTGTTATCTTGCATATCTCTGAGGAAGGGTCACCGGACCCGGAACGTTAATTCTGATTTTTTTTCTTCACAGATAATGCCAGACCTGCTGAGCCTTTCCAGCAACTTCTGTTTTTGTTGCATTTCCCTATCAGGTTTCCTGTCAACCTTCGCAGCTGCAGAACTGTATACAGTACTCCGGTTGTGGTCTGGCCAATGTTTTATCCACATCTCAAGTGAAAATTCCCTGAAGTTGATACTTTCATCTCATCCCTAAATCAAAGCTGATGCACCAAGCAATGATGTATTGAAAACAATATATAACACCACATCTTAGTAGCGCTGTGACACCTTGGAATTAGTCTCCGGGTCATCTAGCACCCAAGCTGTCCTGGAAAGGATTCTCATTGCCTTGTTTGCATGCCTAATATTTTAATGAATGCATCATGTCTTAATAAATTGTAAGCAAGCAGTAATTATTTTAAAGCAGTTAAAAGGTTTAATGTTTTAAAAATACCTTAATTGAACTTTCTGTGACCAAACTCGCCATGTGGTATCTACTTGCCGCACTTAGCGTGTCATGTTTCTCCCCAGCAATGCCATGAGTCAAGTTCTGATCGCATTACATTGTACGGACTAATGATGAAGCCAATTCAACGTTTTCCACAGTTCATTCTTTTGCTACAGGTAAATATATTCATCTGGATGCATTTGTTGAGATATGGATTGCAAAATTGTTTATTTACTGCCAATGTCTTGGGATCGGAGCTTAGGAATAAGTTACATGAGTATTTTCATCATCCTGAAAGTAGTTTCTCCATCACAGATGATAAGCATCCATAGATCCATTGTCTTACTGCTGTTTAATTGATATAGAGTCTTGGTGAATCAGTTGGAACTGGAAGAGATGTTAACTTCAGAATACTATTTGAAAATTGGTAGAAGCATCAGTCATTCCATAAATGTGAGCGTTTATGATTGGAGTAGCGACAGAAGAAGTCTGCAAAACATTAGAGAGAATTCCTGAATCTCGTGCTGTCTACATGTAAAAAAAAAACAAACAAAAGGATTTTGTAATTTTGTAAATACAATTTTATAATGATCTGAGTTCAAATCTTGCCCAAAATACTGACATTACGCTCTTTGTATCCCCCTATGAAATGAGTTTGAAAAGTTTCCATGTAGTCCCAAGGTCAGTAGCATAATGCATAGTCATAGAGGTCTATAGCAAAGGAAAAGGCCCATTGAGTCTGTACTGCTCAAAAACAACATCTAACTATTCGAAGATATACAAGGTGTAGAGCTGGATGAACACAGCAGGCCAAGCAGCATCAGAGGAGCAGGAAGGCTCACGTTTCGGGCCTAGACCCTCCTTCAGAAATGGGGGAGGGGAAGGGGGTTCTGAAATAAATAGGGAGAGAGGGGGAGGCGGATAGAAGATGGATAGAGGAGAAGATAGGTGGAGAGGAGACAGACAGGTCAAAGAGGTGGGGATGGAGCCAGTAAAGGTGAGTGTAGGTGGGGAGGTAGGGAGGACATAGGTCAGTCCAGGGAGGATGGACAGGTCAAAGGGGCGAGATGAGGTTAGTAAGTAGGAGATGGGGGTGGGGCTTGAGGTGGGAGGAGGGGATAGGTGGGAGGAAGGACAGGTTAGGGAGGCAGGGACGAGCTGGGCTGGTTTTGGGATGTGGTAGGGGGAGGGGAGATTTTGAAGCTTGTGAAGTCCACATTGATACCATTGGGCTGCAGCGTTCCCAAGCGGAATATGAGTTGCTGTTCCTGCAACCTTCTGGTAGCATCTGTAACTATTCTAATCCCGTTTTCCAGCGCTTGGCCCATAGTCCTGTATGCCTTGGCATTGCAAATGCACACCAAACACTTATCAAATGTTATGAAGGCTTCTGCCTCTACCACTTTTACAGGCATTAGAGTTCCAGTTCCCACTATTCTCTGCGTGAAAATGTTTTTCCTTACATTCCCTCCAAACCTCCAGTCCCTTACTGTAAATCTGTGTCCCCGATCATTGATTCCTCCATTAAGGGAACAGTTTCTTCCTGTCTACCCTATCTATGTGTGTCTTAATTGGATACATTTCAATCATGTTCTCCCTCAGTCTCCTCAAATCCAAGAAAAACAACCCAGTCTGATCAATCTCTCTTCATGGCTGAAACTTTCCAGGCCAGGCAGTATCCAGGTAAATCTCTTCTGCACCCTCTCTAGTGCTATCACATCCCTCCTATAATGTGGATTCCAATTCAACCAAAAAAAAGTCATGTGTGGTTGTTAAAAATGAAAATTTTCCTGCTGTATTTGGAGATGATCTGAAACTAGGATGGAAAAATATTGCGAGGGGAGGATGGTTGAATAATGCTTTAGCATACCTGCATGATGCGTGATGGACACGTGTTCAATTCCCCCTTACTGATGTTGTCACCTTGCTGGCCATGACTACATACTATTTCCTTTGAGTTTAGATTCTTCAATCTGCTAGTGACCTGTGCTTTCAGTCACTTCTGTTAAGGCGATACTTGTTTAATTTGTTTAATAAATTTTTCTCAATAATAAATGTTGCTTACTTGTTGACTGCCATCAATGTTGACAAAAAAATCAAATTTTTATAGTTTGGACAATGATTTAATAAAAACTTAATCTGGGATGACCTTAAATCTCTCTCCCTCTCTCGATCCCCTTTTCTCCAATTGATGAGATAAATGTATGTTTTCTCAGGACATGCTAAAGAACACTCCAAAGGGACACCCTGATAGACTACCTCTTCAGATGGCTCTCACTGAGCTTGAAACATTAGCGGAGTATTTAAACGAACAGAAACGGGAAGCAGACCAACGCCGTGAGATGAAGCAGATCGCAAAAGCAATGAATGAGCGTTACTTGAATAAGGTAGAATTTGCTGCTTCCATTTTTGAAAATAATAATTGCATCAGCCCTGTTAAAAGAAATTTTAGAAATTATTGTTAGGTGAGCCAAATGTAGAACATACAAATGAATGAATTTGGAGTTTTGACAGCCAAACCTGTTGAGTGAGACCAGTGCAATTCCAACATTTTCCAGTGGATGTCAGATGTTGTACAGATGCAGTATAATATTTAAGAGCTAGGATAGTGGAAAAGAACTGATTTTTAATTTGCTGCCTGGATAAAAACTGGCTTTATAAATTGGCTGGACCTTAGCAGTTTCAGTAATGTAAATGAATTTTGGTTATTTTCGTCGGAGGCGGTGGTGATGATTATGAACAGGACCAGGGAAATAAATCATTGGTCTTGATGCTTGTCTTGTTTCCCAGCCCTCTACTACCATCCATTTAACCTGACTCCTCAATCATTCATGTTGGTTTATCCCTCTTTGGAGATTCGCCAATCTTCTTTAAACTCTTCATTCTCAATCGTGGACTTTATATGTTTCAAATGTTTAAAATTTTTATTCATTAATTATTGGTATTGCTAGTGTAATTCTTATGGCAAGAAATTAATGAGCTATGAGTTTTTTTAAACAAAAATATGAAAGAAACTAATTGGACTGAACATTCATAGAGTGTGAGGAAACAAGTTGAAATTTGGAAAAAATGTATTTGAAACAAAAGTCAGATTGTATCTCCGTTATCTACCGATTGATGCCATGATCAGCTTACTCTGCCTATTTCTGGTACCACTAACCCCTTTATGAATATGTTATCACGCACAGTTTACATTGGAAATGTGTGTCTGCGCCACTAACTCTATTTCAGAACTTTAAAGGCCCTTGTAGCACCCACAAATTCAATTTCATCCCAATCCTTGTGTATGTGAATCTTGTTAAGTGCAATAAATTGGCTGCCAGAATTCCTTACAGTATAACATTGACTGCAAAAGTACTTCAGGAGCTAAAAAGCATTTTTATGTGAAGTTGTGAAAGGTAGCCTGTAAATGCAAAGTTATTTCTGTTTGAAGCTTCTATAAAAATCACTTAGACACACACATAAGATGTGTCTGACAGATCATATAAAGACTGCAGCACCGTCAAATCCAGTCACGTCAATAATAAACTCAACTGAACAACTGTATTGACTATTGGGGGAAAAATAACCTGACAACTTGGGACACAGCTTGGAAGTGAATGCCTCTTACCTCTACTGATATTTACTCACTGCCGCTTCCTTACAATTAGTGTTGTATTATTGGTAATAATTATCGAAGAGTCATGCCTATTGCATTTTAATGCATACTTCCATTGTTGACTTCCATTAAGAACCTTTCATGATGGTCTTAATATCTTATAGTCTTTTAGTGGGCCAGCAGCTCCAAAGGAGGAGAAAAGAACAGGCGATGGCAGGCTGTATCACCCAGAATACAACTCGTCAAGTTATCCATTGCACTGATTCAATCTTTCGCTCCAGGACCATCAGATCCCGAGCTCTGGAATTATGTGCTGGAGCTGAGCAAATGCTGGGCATTCCAGAGTCAGAGGATTCATAGATCAATTAACATAGAAGGAAGCCATCTTGTCTGTGCTCACTTTTTGAAAGTCTCCCTCTATCTCACTGCAACATTTGCGCCAAATCAAGTCCAAATCCCCCCTTTTCTGAAGGTTATCTGCTTTCCGATGTTACATTTGCAGTGTTGGGTACCTTACTTTTAAATGCCTGGGATGTTTCTTGCCCATGTTGGGATCTAGGTGGTGGGCAGAACAAATTTCAGTTTGCAGCAGCATCGCGGTGGTCTGGGGAGAAGCCAGCAGGCCAATGCCCTATGTGGCAGAGATTCTTCAGGAAGGACTGTAATGAGTTTCACTTGAAATTGGGCAGATAAGTTTGAAAGAGATCCGGATTGCTGGCTTTACACTGGATGTTAAGTCCAGCTCATGCTGTCAACAAGTAAGCAGATCCAGCCTCAGAACCAATTGCCAGTGTAGAAATAGTAAATCTGTAATCAGGACACGTCCTGATTTCCAATTAATTGCCTCGTAGGTAGATTAAAGCGAGATTTTAATTCTGGTTGGAAATCGGGGAAATGTAGTTTGTGGTAAATCCAATGTGAGCGCAGGTAATTTTTTATATCTGCACAGCTCTGACTCCTGCTTGAAATCAATAAGTGCCAGCTGGCTGGCAAGAAGGAGGTGAAGTTTGGGGGTCTGAAAACTGCTGCTGTCCCTGATGCTGAGACAGGTCATAGGGAGGCTCAGGCTGGAGGAGTGTAGTCTGGGTTGGGGAGACCCAAACCTTTCGTCTCCAACGACTCTACGAGGAAATGTCAAAAAATCTCTTCCTCTTTTAATCCTGACCCCTCTTCCCATTAGAGCATTCTGGAAGGAAAGCCAAAGCGTCTTCCACTGAGGGTTGTAATTGAAATAGTGATGGATTCCAGTGGCAACGTGAGAACAAACTTAGTGAAGGATCCTGCCAACTTTGAATAGGTTTCCATTCACACTTACTCAAAAGGACACGTTAAACTTTGCAGGAAATGCAAACAGAATTCCATCTCAGCAGTTTAGTAACTGGTGATTTCTACAATAAATGGTTTCCATCTGCCAGAGAGGGCATGATGTCTAAATAACTTTTAGCCAATGTATTGTCAAGAAATTCTAGTAGAACTGGGAATTGAAAGAGCCAAGAAGAAAGTGTTACAATATCTAGGGCCATAACTGATGAAAGGAAGATGGTTGTGATTACAGGACACTTATTGTCAATGCTCTGCAGGGGTCATTCAGGATAATATCCTCAGCCTAACCATTGTTAACTTACTTTCCCTACCTTGCTGAGAGTGAGGATACTTGCTGATGGTTCTGAAATGTTCAGCTCCATTCACAACTCTTGTGACACACAAGCAGTCTTTTCCAGCCCACACCAGAAGCTGGGAAACATCCAGGCTTGGACTGACAAGTGGTGCATCAGTCCTGAGCTATGACCATCTCCAACAAGTGAAATCTCTGACTTTCAGCATCATTCCCTATCATTTGTGGGGTCAGCCATGGCAACAGTGTGGTTAATAAAGCAGGCTAAAGACTGAGTCTTTTACAATGGAATTGACTTACCTCCTTCTTTAAACATTACAATTGTGGTAATCACCATGTCTAGATAAGCATAAGTGCAAAAAAGTTCAAGCTTCATTTGTGCCTGTACCACTTGGCTTAATATGTATTCCCATTCATCAGTGCATTGTCCATGCAGTAAGTACCATCCTTGGGATACACGAAAGCAATATGATAAACTTTAATTAGTCAGCACCTCCTCACCACATGACCACAGCCAAGAGGTCAGACAAGAAAAGCAGAATCGTGAGATCATCATCACTTCTAGATTGTACATCATCCTGCTGTGGATATGTATTAGCATTCCTTCACCCTGGTCAATGAAAATCTCAGGATTTCCTACCTAACATTAGAATGGGAGCAGGACCAGTATACAGACTACAGTGGTTTAAGGAGAAGGTCCACAACCACCATCTCAGTGCATGTGAAGTCAGCCAATAAACATGGTCTTGCTAGCATTGTTGAAAACATATTGTAAAGGTCTCATCGAAGGATAGTTCCAGAATCTGGATCGAAAGTTCAAAGCCCTCATCTTCCAGTTATCAGGACACCCCAATATAGGGAATAAAACATGGTACTAAGCAGTGAAAACACAACATGGCTACAGCCCAAAATGAATGTAGTTGTTATGATTGGCTCTGCTTATTCTTTCGTTCGACCCACTCTATACGAAAAGAACCTTTAAGTGTTGCTTTCAAAAGTAAAACTAGGAGGAGATGGAATATCTCTGAATATTCTAACAAGTTGGTGTGTATAAATATACTTGTGTCGAAAGCTGATGCTTACAAGACGTGAAAATGCCTTTATTTTATATGGTAAGAACAAGTTAAACTGGATTTTGAGTTGTTGTGAATTTAATACAAGGTACTAAAAACATTTTAGCAGAAGCAAACTACATGTTAGGAAGTGAATCTCACCTTATTCTAATTTCACTTATTATTTACACAAATGAAAAATGAATCTGTCTTCTTCCTATGTATATTCCCTCTGTGTAAGTCGTATCATGTTGTAAATATTACAGCTGCTGGCAGTGTCCACACATTTCTGTCAATTTAAAACAAATTAGCGTATCTTTGAGTTAGCAAATAACTGGATTAATGAGAGTGAAACCATCTGCTCAGCTTCTACAAATTAACAGCTGCTTAAATCATACTAAGAAGACTATATGTGTTAGTCACACAGATCATGGTAGCATGAGATTCCTAATGTCTGTCCATGACACAAAATGAAAGGCTGTTGTCGCCGAAATAGAATATTGTTTTTCTTTAGTGAAAATGCCATATCATTCCTTCAAATTTGAGTTTGAGTGCACTGTCATTGGAGAGATCCCGAGAGGCAGCACTACCAAAAAGTGGTGTCAAAATGAAGCTATTGTTGAAATATACAACAGCAGTACTGATTTAATCAATATCAATGTCGCAGAGATGATGGAAAGAAAGTCTTGCCATTTTAGTTAAAGTCACCATAGTCCCAGAGGACCGAAGATTTGTTCTCTCATTTGGAGAGAGATGACAGGTGGGGTTTAATCTGGAGGTCACCTTGGTTCAGGTAGGGCCTTCATGGAAACCTCAACCAGTGCAGAAATTGAAATACACTTTTGGCATCTCTCTGTATCACAGACCAGTGCCCAGCTAACTGAGCTCACTGACCCCTTACTTGCCATTATAAAGTGATTTTCACAACCACAGATCATCACAAAGTCCTTTAGAGCACAAAATATTTCTGCAATATAGTCACAACTGTAATGTAAGCTGACAATTTGCATCCAGTAAAGTCTGACAAAAGCAACAAAGTAACTGATCGTACCTGTTTTAGTCATGTTGGTTGAAAGAACAAGATTGGCTTTGATCCCAGAGGGAGTTCTCCTGGTCTCCTTC